GTTCTCTATTCTTTCAGCAGTTCTGTTTCGTCTTGTATAGACCCGAAGTTCCTGAGGAGTGGGTTGTGTAGACTGAGGAGATTGAATAGGAGAAGGTGTGGGTTGTGTTGACTGAGGAGGTTGAATAGGAGAAGGTGTGAGTTGTGTAGACTGAGGAGGTTGGAGGAGGTGAGAGACCCGTATCAATTGGTAAAGGAACACAGGGCTGTTGTTCACAATGACTACTCTCCCCCTGAATGGCAGACCCTTGGTAGTATAATTGATGCTAAAAAAATGTGACATCCATAGAATTAGTGACATCCATAGAATTATAGACCTTTTCAGTTGAAGGACAATAACACTTGTAACCTTTCTTGTTGGTTGAATACCATATATGCATTTGACAGATTTGGGGTCTAATTTACTGCGGTGTTGTTTGTGAATATGAACAAAGACGGAGCAACCAAATAGTTTGGAAGGGAAAACTGAAGAGAGTGTATAGGTATCTGGAAAGGAGCGAAGGAGGACATCAATTGGACAACGAAAATCCAGAATACGAGAGGGCATCCGATAATACGAGAGGGCATCCGAGGCATCCGATTTATGAGGTAGGCCGCGGTCAATGTTGCCTCGCCCCAATAACATTTAGGGACCGAGGTGGTAAATATGAGACAGTGGGTTCCAACAAGTGATGATTTTTTCGCTCGGCAACCCCATTTTGTTGGGGAGTATCAACACACATACTAAGATGAAGGATGCCATGTTGAGTAAGAAAAGTTCCTAGGGAGGTGTTGAAAAAATCTCGTGCATTATCTGTTTTGAGAGTCTGAATTTTTGTGTCAAATTGAGTGAGTATCATTTGATAGAATGCACAAAATATTGGGCCTACCTCGGATTTATCACGCATAAGATAGATCTATGTCTTCCGTGTGTGATCATCAATAAATGACATGAACCATTGGGCCCCAGGAAAATTTTTTTCACGAGAAAGACCCCAGACGTCACTACGAATCAAAGAAAAGGGACGAGTGGGTTTGTATGATAATCGAGGAAATGAAGTACGAGTGTGTTTGCCAAATTGACAAAATTCACAATTAAAAGATGTAGGATTTTTATTTATAAATAAATGAGAAAACAGTTTCCCCAGGTACATAAAGTTGGGATGACCTAAACGATAATGAAGTAACATAGATTCACTATCATTATTAACGCTGGAATGAAATACAGATGTACTAAGTTGATTTAAGCAAGACAGACTCGATACTGGAATACAACTGGTGGGTGAGACTAGACTGATAGAGGGTTTGTTGAGGAGATAGAGATCACTGCGCAACTCAGCACTGTCAATCATCCTCCCCAACTTCAAGTCCTGAAATTCACAAACATATGAAAAAATGTAGCAACACAATCACAATCATGAGTGAGCTTACTAATAGAGATCAGATCGCAATCCAAAGTAGGAACATGAAGCACAGAAGTGAGGAATAAATCTGGAGATATGCGGACAGAACCAAGACCATCAACTTTGGAGGCTGATCCATTAGCAATCCGAACACAGAGGGTCGGATTACCCGGCCGGGG